AGGATCGACACTTTCTAAATTATTTTTATTTAAAGTATTCCAAATATGACTAAAATAACTATCATTTGAATATGCTTGTTCCCAATTCACTTCATTGTCAAATTGTACAGAAACACTAGAAATATTAGTAAGATGCAATAAACGAGAAAGAGCATCAGCAGCTATGTTAGTTTTTCCTGGGCGGTATTTAACATCAAAATCCATTGATTGTAATAATTCTAACCATCGACCTTGTCTTCGTGAAAGAGTTGTTTGAGATTTAATAAATTCGAGAGATGCATGATCAGTAATAACTACAAATTTTCATCCTTCGAGGTAGTGACGCCACAACTTTATTGCATGTACTATGGCAAGGAGTTCTTTTTCATGTGTTGAGTAATTTTGTTCAGCACTTGTTAACTTTTGAGATTCATAGGCAATTGGTTGTTCACCTCTTCCTTGGTTTTGACTTAAAATTGCTCCTATTGCAAAATCTGATGCGTCTGTAATGAGAGTGAAAGGTTTTGTTGGGTCTGGTAAGAGTAGGACTGGTGCAGATGTCAACTTATGTTTGAGTTGATCAAAAGCTTGTTGTTCTACACTATCCCATTTAAATGTATTTCCATTTTGCAATAAGTTAGTAAGAGGAGTGGCTATTGAAGAAAATCCTTTAACAAATTTCCGATAGTAATTTGCTAGTCCAAGAAAAGATCTAACATCTGACACATTTGCTGGTGTTGGCCAATTTTTAACAATATCAATTTTTCGATTGTCTACTGCAATTCCTTCCGCTGAGATGTAATGGCCAAGATATTCAACTTTCCTTTGAAGAAATTGACACTTACTAATTTTTGCAAATAGTTTGTGCTTCTTGAGGATCTCTAAAACTATCCGAAGATGTTGTAAATGTTCTTCTTTATTACGACTGTAAACCAAAATATCATCAAGATAAATAATAACGAATTGATCCAAGTATTCCCTAAAAATATCATTCATGAGAGTCATAAATGTTGCAGGTGCATTAGTGAGTCCAAAAGGTAAGACTAAAAATTCGTAATGCCCATAACGAGTTCTAAAGGCCGTCTTGTGAATATCTTCTTCTTTAATTCTAATTTGATGGTATCCTGAATATAGATCTATTTTAGTAAAATAACTAGCACCAACCAGTCTATCCATTAATTCATCAACACTTGGCAATGGGTAACGATTCTTAATTGTTATTTTGTTCAAAGCTCTGTAATCGATACACAAACGTAAGGTTCCTTCTTTCTTATGTACAAAAAGTACAGGTGCCCCAAAAGGAGAGATACTAGGACGAATAAATCCCTTCTTCAATAAATCTGCCAATTGTTTCTTTAATTCGTTCATTTCGTCAAAGGACATTCTATAGATTGGTCGTGATGGGGGTTCCGATCCTGGGATTAAATCGATTGCATGATCAACATTTCGTTTTGGAGGTAACTTTTCAGGTAAATTTTCTGGAAAAACTTCTGAATATTCTTGAAGGAGAGTTTTAACTTCTGATGTATCATGAGAAAAAAAAGTTTCATTAGTAGTATCAGCTAAACAAACAGCAAACAATTCGTCCTTCGCAGGTATCTTTGCCAATTGTTGTCTTGAAATAAAAATGGAATGACAACTAGGATCAATTTTATTTCTTGTATCAGCAGGGACAACAATAGTCTTTGGGCCATATTGAAATGTGAGTGTGTTAGTTCTCCAATCTACACTTGGATTGGCATGATAAAGCCATGGTTTACCAAGGATAACATCATAACGTTGCAAATGAATTACTTGAGCAGATATATCTGAAGTATGGTAAGTTCCCAATTTCAATTCTTTGATGTTAGCACTTTGTCCTGTTTCTGATTTACTTCCATCTGCCAATTCTACAGAAATAGATGGAACTTGTTTTGTGGCAATATTATTTCGTTTTACAAAATCTTCATTAATAAAATTTTTAGATGCACCACTATCAACTAAAATCCATGCTGTACAACCATTAATTTGTCCTTGGAATCGAAGTAAACGTTCACGATCCTCTTCCATACGAGTTAATTCTAAACTATTATTATTAGCAATTTGTTGCTCTTGTTGTTGTTCAATATTGGTAAGTCTTTGTTTGGGTTTATTACGACAAGTTCTTGCATAATGACCAGGTTGTCCACATTTAAAACAACTTCCTTTCAAAGGTTTGTGATTATTATTACTATACTATTGTAGTTACTTGAAGATGAGGTTCCTGCATAATCTAATTCCATGGGTACATATTGGTTGTTGTCATTATTGTTATTATTATAATTGTTGCTATTGCTATTGTTGTAATGGGTATAATTATTATTTCTTTGATTACGTCTCGAATGGGAGGATTTTGTAGATTGATTGTTGTTTGAAAAAGGTCTTCCATTTCCAAACATTGCAGTATCATATTGGATGGCTCATGCTGTAGCTTTTTCTAAGGTATCTGGGGCTTGGTATGCTACTTCCATTCTTGTTGATGGCTTCAATCCATCTATGTAGTAAAGTCACTTGATCTAATTCTCCCATGCCCTCAATCTGTCCAACTAAATTTTGAAATTGCGATGTGTATTCTTGTACAGTGCTGGTTTGTCGAAGTCTTTTAAGTTGTTGTCGGAGGTATTGTTGATAATTGGGTGGTTGGAAAGCAGTTCTTACAGCGGTTGCAAAAGTTGTCCAGGTGGCGTATGGTGGTGTATTATTATTTCCTACTACTTTGTTTAAATACCAGTGCAAAGCTGCATCTTTGAATCCAGTGGTTGCGTAAGTTACTTGAGTGGCTTCATTCGTGATTCCTTGAGTACTTAAAACATTTTGTACTTGTAACAACCATGCAACCACATTCTCTTTCGATTCTCCTTTAAAGGGAGGAATTTGCACAGAAATTTTAGGAGGAGCAGTTCCTGCATTTTGTGGTTGTTGTTGTTGTCCTAATGATTGCGTCAATTGTTGTTGGGACTGTATCAATTGTGCTATAGCATTTACTAAAGTATTGACGTCTCCCATTTTGTGTAAAAAAAATTGCTAAGGTGTATGTTTATGGGTTTTTTATAAATATCTTCTGTGATCAAATACTTTTGTTCAGGTAGTGCATGTAAATAAAAAAAGTTATTATTATTGAGAAAAGAATTAGTAGACTTTAAAGTATATCAATTTTTAATTAAAAAAATTTAAATTTGTTGCTAAAAATTGTAAAATACAATAATATTATTTTTATTTTTTATCAATTATTTGAAATACTTCTAACTCATCATATTTACTATTATTTACTATATTAATGTTAGTATAAGAACTAATTAAAATAACACGAACAATATTTCCTGATCTAAAAATAAGATCACAACCACCACCACCACCAAAAGCAGCCAAATTTGAAGGATGACAGTAAATTGCATGCTCATAATCATTATTGGCAACATAACTAAACTGTGCAGAATTAATATCATTTCTATTATTAATATTGAAAATAAAACTTTCAGTTGTATTTTTATATATGGAATATCCATTATTTAAATTCCAATCAAGTGGATTATAACCTCCTACTAATTGATCTGAATTTTGTATTTTGCCAACTACAAGAGTTTTATTGATGTTATCACATTTTTGATGAAATGCAGCTACACTATTACCATCTCTACTATGATGATATATAAGTTTAAATTCATATTTAATTTCCTTTAATGAACTATATGGTGAACTTTTTCTATCAATCCAACTTGCAAAAAGTAAAGTAAGCTTTTGATTGATTGTCAGTGAATGAATTTTTGGAATCCTTGATGATAATAAACTCAATGTTTGTTGACTACCAGGAGCTAAATAATAAAGTAAAAGGTTATTCCAAAATAACTCTGGAAAAAGCTTTTGATATGGAAAAATTTTAAAACCAAAATCCTCTTTAGAAATATCTTGGAATCTTATTAAGGGAATAAATTCTTTTAATGTGTTACTCATATCAACAAAATTTTGTGATGACCAATTTTCAACTTTGCTGTTATTGATTTCTGGATGTCTTGCTAATCCCCATTTAAGAATATTTTCCCAAACAACTATTTCATCAATGTAAAAATCATCCCTTTTAAGAATTTCCAATAAAGTTGGTTTTTCAAATAATTTAAATTCACTTGACTGAAATAATTCTTCACTAAACTCACAAAATTTTTTTAGGAAGATGTTTTTCATTTCAATAAATTGATTGTTGGAATAAATGGATTGTAAAATTTTAACTGTATTTTCTTTTATGTAATCCTCATGTTTTTCAATAAAGTAGTTCATTGTATAATTGTAGAGTGACTCAAGACCAAGCTCATCAGCTGTAATTAATATTTGCAAAACATCAACTCCAGAATAATTATCTAACTCTATTTTACATGTGTACAAAAATCTTTCAAATAATTAAATGCTATTATTATAAATTCAATAATTAATTAATCTAATATAATAAATATAATAATAATTTCATTTAACTTACTTGAGAATAGGGACAAAAGATTTTTCACTAATATTAGCTTTTTCAATAATATAGTATCCATTTTCTTTTGTTGCATCACTTAATGCATTGCTAAAAAATGAACAATGAGCAGATATGATGGATGCATGTGCATGAACTTCTTTAATGTTTGGTTCTACACCAAGATATATTTTTACATCATAAAAATTTTCTGTATTTAATAATCTTTCATTTTCGTTGAAATATTTTTCTAAAAATGTTGAATCCATTTAATTTATTCTTTTAAAAAAAAATTGCAATTATATTTTTATTGTAGTATTAATGAGAATTGAGCAAAAATAAAATATTGCAACCTATGTATGACGTACTAGTAATAAACTGGTTTTATGACTTAATTTATAAAAATGAAAATTGTATAATAAATAATATCTAGAAAATTATCAATATTACTAATAGCATAACAATTTAAATTTTAAAATGCCAAAAACAAAAAACGCAGAATTAACAATAGTTGAATCATGAGTCTTAACCTAGTGGAATTTTAATAAGAGTCTCTATGGTACTAAAAATTCCATATAGTACTGTACTGACTACAGCCATAGTTACATCATGTAAAAATGGTGCAACAGGTATTCTTAACAATAACTTGTTATTTTGATGATGTTAAAAATCAACAAAGTGAAAGGCCCAAAATTTTAGATTGAAAAAAATAAAATAGTATTGAGATTCCTATTAAAACAATTTGTAGGAACTTCTATGAACTTAATATTTATTCATGTCTGAGTGTAACAAATTACTCCGAAGTCATGTGTAACATCGGGGTGGTACATAAATATTTACATTAGAAACGTGACACATTTATTATTATTATTTGTATTTCGTGTCTTTAATTATATTTATTATTATTATCTATGTCCACAAAATCTTCCGGATAGATTGATAAGAATCTTATGATTATTATTATTTATATTTTATTTATATTTTATCAATCTTATATTATTATTTATATTTTATCAATCTATGTAATTTTATATATAAAGGACATCATATTAAGATAATAAAGATTAACTTTGTAATTTTACAACAATTAAATTACTTATTTCGCTTTTAACATTGAACGTTTACAACCATATTGCACCATTGTTCATGTTTTACAAATCCACTTTCAGAACATTGGAATTTGACTGGATAGAAGCACATGCATGATTGGCAAAGATAATTAAAACAAATACTGATTCTGGTATCATACTAGTGGATATCAAAGGTATGCACTAATCTCTATGATTGCTATTATGTTTGGCTACTGATTTAAATACCTATTTTGACACAAAAGGGACTTGGATTGGAGATGACAGAGAAAAATGGCAAATGGAAATTTCAGGGCCACCCAGTACTCCTACAACTTGCCATACTGTCAGTGACATGAAAAAGTCTATACAAATTGATATATTGAATTTGGTGGGCATCCTAAGTAACCATCTTGATCTTGATGTGAAAATTGCAAAAGAAGTTAAAGTGTTCAGCTAGAACTCTGAACGAGTCAGGTCAGGTCGGGTCAGTGGTTCAACCTGACCTGACTCGAACTTTTAAACAGTTGACTCAACCCGACCCGTCGGGTCAATGGGTCACAGATTAAGAAAATTACAAATGTAGATATATTAATTGAAATATCACCATATGCGAACAATTTCTGGGTAGGTTACACCTTTATCCCTGTGTTCAGAGGGATACAGCTTTAGCCTGGCAAGTGATAAATATAAATACACAGATATATCTCTGATCACCTGGTCTGTAGATCTTGAGTGAATTATCCAACCGATATCCAAAGATCGATAGGATTGATAAGGGGGGATATCCCTTTTATATGATTTCCCAGGCTGAGGCTTTATCCCTACGAACTGAGGGATAAAGGTATAACCTTTCAGAAATTGTCTGCATGGGCTGTGAAATATATACAGTACACACAATATGTTCACTATTACTGCCACTTTTAAGAAATCTGTCCAACATCATTTCTTGTTTATTTACATTAACATCAATTTTATTTTATGATTCTTAAGATGATGACTTAAATTTGAAGTAGAGCCACTATTCATATTATATTTCCCATGTCTTTATTTAATGAAATACCAGAATTAGATTTTGATGCAGATCTTTTGGTTGAATCTTTTAATTCCGGGACAATTTAAATTTTATTTATTTATTAATTCTATTTATTTATCAATAACGTGTATAATTATTTATTATCATCTGAATTCGCATTATGTTACACATATTTAATTATTATTATTATTATTATTATTAAGGGTAGAGTGTAGTCATGTGATTTTTCATAACAACTGAAAGGATAAATTTTTACAGTGATGATCATTTTCTTATGTCACACATTAAAATAAATTATAATAAAATAATTCTAAAAACAGAGGCCATAAATAATCAAGCTACAAGTTAAGGGTAGAGTGTAGGTAACATAAAATTTACTATGATACAGTAGATAATTTTTGACTGCAAATCATTAAAAATATTAGTGTAGTCATGCATGATAACATTATTATTATATACAGTAATATATAGAAAAAATCATTTTTATTTTATTTGTAAAAGAATGACTGATAATTAATATTAAATATTTAATATAACATTGTCCTTTTCTTCTATGATATCCTTTAGCAAAAAAATAAAGCTACAGTTCACTCTCTCTATAACGAACACTAAGTAAAATCTCTATAATGAACTTCCCTTTTAATTAATTTTCTCTCTATAATGAACATCTTAGTAAACACACCTTATAATGAACTGTATATTTTCTCATGTTCCTTACTTATAAATAAATTGTGATGTTAGTTAATTATATTACAAAATAACGTATTAATTATATTAATTATTTCAAAAATACCAAGTAAAATTACAGGAAACTCCCATGTTTTTGTTTAAAGTAAAAGAAAATTTGATATAACTTCCATGAAGAATAGGTATATATAACAAATAGTGTATGTAGAGTAGGTGGAGATATATTGCTATCTTGTTATTGACTTCTACTACCATCCCTCAACTCATCTATAGTTGTTTTTAAAAAATTCTATTTTTAAATGTTTTAATGATCAAAATTACATGAATAAAACTAATATCACTTACCTTGATTAAAAATAGGCAATTTTCTTTTGGTATTTATATATATTTATTACAAAGAAATGGACAAGATTTTAACAAATTATTAGTATTTTATTTATTCTAAAGAAATATTATTACAATTATTATTGTGTGTGTTATGGCTATTTATTATATTTATTATAGGTTTGATATGTTTTATAAGCGATGGGAAAATTTTTATAAGTGATGCAAAAACTACTTTTGACTTTACAAGATTTTTTTAAAAGAACCTTTTAACAAGACATCAAAATTTTTATCACGATATGATTGGATAGGTTCTGAAAAAGGATTTTGCAATAGTAAACATCTCACAAAACTTAGTTTTTGGAATACTCATGTATGAGGCTAACAACTCGGAGTGTTACGTAATTTTTTTTATCAACAGTGTCATGGTGAAATTCGTGTTACCTACACTCTACCCTTAATTAATCCATAGCACATTCATATTTATTTAACTTTATTTAGTAGAGATTAGTGACGATTCTTCAAAATGGGCGGATTTGCCCAGTTACAAAGTGAGCGGATTCGCGCAATTTGGGCTAATATGTAAAGAACATGTATATAAAGAACTTGATTTCGACCTAATGTAAAAGCAACTTTCTTACAAGTTAATTAGTTCCGACTAAATAAATAAAATAGAAATATTTTATTTAAAACTTTTATCTTTAACCAAAATTATTCGCTAATAACAAAATCAATTCATTGATCTCCTATTCATTCTGATCTACACAAAACAAAATAATTATCAACAATTAAAATACACTCCCAAATTTAATCAGTGACAATAGTAATAATAATAATGAAATAATAATAATAATGATAACGATAACGAAATAGCAATAATAATTTTAGCGCAAGAAAGAAATTAGTTAGCATTGGGTACTATGCTTCGTTATCCTTTTTTGTTTAGAGAGTTTTAGAAGCGATAATCATTCACTGATTGAATTCTTTTTTTTAGAAAAAAAAACTCTTTTTGGAAAAAAAACCACTTTTTGGAAAATCTGAGGTTCTACAATTTTCAACACATTTTTTAATAGCAATAGCAATTTCTTCTCTCTGCAGAGCTCAGCAAGATAGTGAGAGCTATGAGCAGCTAGCGAAAAATCATTGTTTTTCAAACTTAATTTTTTGGGAAGGAATTTTTTGTTTTTGTTGGGTAGTAAATTTCAAAAAATTTTTTTTTTATTCTTCTGAAATCAATATCAATACACTTCATTTTTTTTTGTTCAATGAGGTCTAATTAGTTTATTTATGTTAATGATTTTCAATATACATGATTATATATATCTATAAATTTATATTAGAACAAAATGAAACCAACTCGATCTAACTTACAAACCCATATTTTAAACCACGACCTACCACCACACGTATAATATACATGGGGGTGGTCCAGACCTAATGTCCCAGGAAAACCCCACAACTACCCTCCATACTCATCCCCTTTTCTATATAATTTTTTATTATACTACTACTTAATTTGTTGATATTATCTACACTTTGATTACTAGTATTATCAACATTATTTTTATTATTACTATTATTGATATTTTTACAATCATCAACACCACCACTAGTACCTGTGTTATTAATTATTTTTGTTTTATACTTCATATTTTTTTCTATTCCTATTTCCTTCCAAATTTTTTCTCTGGTTACTGATATTATTTTTTGGACTAACCTTCTAGCTATTTTCTTACTGTTATGACTGTTTATGTTCAATCCTTCAATGGCTTTACTCAGGCTTCTTGGGACCAACCCCTTGAGTATGTGTTTCAATTTTATTTCTTTTTTGTCAGGTTTAAGATCATTTTTCCCATTGAAGTATGGTAGATTTTTAATTTTTTCTTTTGCCATTTTACAATTAATATTT